TGAATTGCATGTTTGCAAGTTGAGTTTTCAATGCTTGGGGATGATTGTATCAACAATTCATGGTAGTTTGGGTCAGAAAGCCAGAGCTTAGCAAGGTAGTTTGGATTGTACAAAAATATGTTTTAGAGAATAATTGCTCACAATTGGTCCACCTTTAAGTTACAATTGTTCATTAGTTTGTATATTTAAGGATAATAGATTCTCCATTATCTTAATTTTGACTAAATTGAAGTAAATTTTTTAGTGAAAATAAGTTAAGGCTTTAAAATCACTAAACAAGTTAAGACTTTAAAATTGTGGACTAGACGGGATAAATTAGTATGAGGCAAATAATTTAACTTATTTTCATTAAAAAAGAAAAAGATATACTAGATCTTATGTATCTATATTACATACTTTAATTTTACTTTGAAATTTTATTTATAATTTTGGGATCAAAATGAAAAACTTTGTTTAAACGTGGTCAATTTCATAAATGAAAAAAAAGAAAAATAATAACCAAGGTAACAAAAATTAAATAAAATCAAATTGTTGTTGGTTTAAAATTATTAAAATCAATACGTTTTTAGAAAAAACTTAATTGTTCATGTACGATTTCATTCAATTACATAGGTATAATTTGACCTAAAAATCATATAATCAATAATGTATGACTAATTAAGCATGTTCATGATTTAATTACATTGTATAAAAAAATTATGAATTTTAACAATGTAATTACACAAATTCAAAAACCGCACAAGACCTTAACAAGCAATCGTGAATAATGTAATCTATATATAATTCTATAGGATTATACATCCTAAGGTTTTGACATCAATTGTTAGACTTTATTATAATAAATTTACACTAATCTAAGATATGTCATAGTTGAAATTTAAAATACAAAAGTATATATGATTTTTCATTCATTCGAGAGCATTGAATTTATTAGTTGATACATGATCTCTTATCTAAATAATAGGGTTTGAATGCTTGAATCTCCCATTCCTCAATTATAAAAAATGTACATGATTTTTTACATAATTTCTCTAATTTTTTGTTTTTTTTTCTTAACCAATCAAATAGTTTTGTTAGAATAAAAAAAATAGTTACAAAAGGATTGGCCTTGAAGGCCCTGGGTACAAGCAACTACTAGCAACAGTGCAAAATATAACTCGTTGCCACAGAAAATCAAATTGGAAAATACTTTTTATTTTTTTGAAGGGCAGAATAAAGTTCATTTCATAAAAGATTTACAAAAGACTACCACATAAGGTAGTGAGGCAGCTCCTTACTGCTTACAAAAATCCAGAAAGGGTCAGGAGACAAGCCTCTGGTTGCCTATGAGATCAAACCCAATCTGGAAACCAATGAAGAACCTCCAGCAACATAATCCCCACCACAATATACATTTTGGGACCTCAAGAATGACCACAACTTAGACAAACAATGGTAGAAGTTCCACCAAGAACCGGAAGTGCAACCTGGGAAAATAATTTAGAAGAGCTTACTCTGTATCAGTTGCCAACCCATGTTCTATATCATC